CTGTGGCTGAGTGAGAGCCTCAAGCCCTGCACTTCCCCCCTCTCCCTCTGGGCAGGGCTGGGGGTTTCCTGCCCCTTTTGCAAACAGCTCTTGCAGGCTGGAAATCTGCTAGCCTGCAGAGGTCTTTGCAAAAGGGGGAAATCTGCAGGTTTCTCTGCTAAAAGGTAAAATTAGATTTTTTCTCTGATAAAAACAGGGAAATCTGTGGCTTTCTCTGCTTTTCCATGGGAATCAGAAAACCTGGGTCCCTGATTAGTGTGGCCCTCACCCTCCATGAGATGCAGCTGGACCAGGTTGTACAGCACCTCATCTGCATATAGAGGATCCCAGGATTCATGATAAGAACACCTGATTCCAGTCATGAGTGGGGGGGATAAAGAGCACATTAATCCTTGTTGGGGGGTGGGGGGTGGCTGTGGTATCTGAAGTACACCCACATATTGAGTAGTGCTGTGTTATATGGTTACCATGGCTTGAAATACCGTTGTCTCTGCTGGTGCCCAGTCCAATTAATTATATGGTAAATCATGAGCCTTTTGGCTTTGGACTAACGTCACACATAGTTTGTACTATATACAAATAGGTACAGAAGAGCAGCTTAAAAGTGTATTTATGCAGTACTTCTGTGTTAAAACTTCTAGCAGTTTCCAAAGAGCTAAACTGCATCTATTCTGAGTGAACTCGGTCCATGGGTAATCACTACCCTATATGCAAGTTAGTACAGGTATGTTTATTTCTAGGTCAATACTTTTAAATTTGCTTCTCATTTCTGTGCGCTCAGGGAAAGCAAAGTCTGACATGAAGGAAGAGGGGAAGGAGCTACAGGGGAAAGAAGTTGGAGGGCAGAGGACAAGGAGGCTACCTGGCCCCCAAAATAATTTTCCCTGCTGTAGTGTGACAGGAGGAAGATCACATGGACAGTCACTGTCCTGGCCCACCTCTCTGTCTAGGGCAGTCTACTCTGTCTCTTCTGCCACGACTTGTTTGGATACACATGATGTACTAAGCAGGAGGCTGCCCATTTAATGCCCCGATTCCATGGGGTCTACACATGCTCCAACCTCCCTTTATCGTGTCCCATGTCTCACAGATGGCATCCAAAATTGTACTTGCTCCAACTAGAAGCTGGGCCAAACTCTGCCCCTTGCTGGGCCTCTCACACTCAGCTCATAGACTCTGCCCCCTCTCACAGGGCCTCAATCACTCTGCCCCCCTCTCACCAAGCCTCTTTCATGCCACCCTTCACTGGGCCTCTCTAATCCACCCTGTTCCACTGAGTGGCCTCCTTGGAGCATCAGGCTTGCCTAAATACACTCTGGGCAATCTCCCCACAGCCCTTTGGGTGCTTCATGCAGCCTACTCTATGGGTGATGGTCCTTTTGCCTAACACTAGGCTGACTCTGGCCCCTAGACCCTCTCTGAGCACTTAGCTGTTCCTAATGCTCTCAGCCCCCTCAATGGGCCACTCTCTGCCCCCTCTCTGGGGCTTCTGGGGTCCTACATTCCCCTTCAGGGGGCTCAGGTGCCTCTGTAGGCATGCCTGACCCCCCACTGCCTGTTCTCATTCATATTTATCCACTGAGGAGTGGGGGCTGGGGTCATAAGGAGCCCCTACCTGTCTTTCACTAGGGAATCAACTGGCCTGACATTTCTGGGGAGCTACCCCACCATAGGTAGCTCTACCAGGCCATCCTTCCCCAGCAGGGTGCAGTTTCAAGTCATACCCAGTGTGGCAGGCCAGTAGGGGGTGCTTCTGCACTGAGTCACCCACCTGACTGCACCCGACTATGTTCCAAGTTCCGAGTGCCTCCCTGGGCTGCCTCATGTCCAGCTGACACCCTTTCCGGAGCACACCCTCAAGCCTGGGGGTAACACCACCACCACCCAGGGTCCAGACAGATGTTTGCCCTGTTATGCTCCCTGGAAAACAGAGGCCTAGTACTTCTTGAGATTACTCAGCCCACTGCAAGAACTTGGGATGCTTCCCTTAGTCTGAAGCACAAATGGTGGTCTCCCTTAGTCAGCCAGACCCAAGGGACCCCAAGGCATAATCTAGACCCTCTCCCAATAAGTCTCCCATGCTAGGTACAGAGGAGAACATTATCGATTACAAGGAGTAGGTTTAGAGTAGGGTAGAGGATAGAGCAATATCAGAGAAATACCTTAGAGCAAACAGTGGCATGGTAGCCTTTGATCACACACCTGAGTTACTGCAAGCTATATATCTAGTTAGATCTCAAGTAGCTTACTCACAAGTATCATCCAGAGGCAGCTAGAGATTATCTCTGGAGGCAGGCAGCTCACTGACCATGAGTTTCAAAAGAGAAAGCAAGTTTCAGATGGTCCAGCTTTTTTGAGAGTCCTCATCATGGCTGCCACCCCTCCTTCTAGGCCCTCTAACTTATGACCTCATTTACCTGATCCAATAAAGGCCAGCAGGTATTGGCTGCTAGCCAACCAATTTGAAATGCATCACTGGTTACTAGGTAGACTAGTAGGGTCTCTAGCCCCATCCCAGTCATGATGACTTTGCTTAGAACAATAGGCAGTTTAAGCCCTCACCCACCCACGTGCGTGAGGCCAGTCACATAGGCAGAAGGAGCAGGTTTCCCCCTCCCTCAGAAATGTATCCAGCTCAGATTACAACTCAGGGTTACCTGAAGCAGATGGGGCCAGGGGTGTCTGTCCTCTGCAGTGAACATCGTAACCAAATTGTTAGATAGGTAATAAGACTGATAGCAGAGTTTTGGGAGAGAGAGAGATGACATTCTGCCACACCCAGGACCAGGAGCTTCCTACTATCCCCACAGCCCCTGCCCTTACCTCCAAGATGTTCCTGAGCAGCCGCTCAGCCAGATCTTGCTCCGCCAGCAGCAGACTGTTGGCTCAACTCTGAGAGCCTGAGCTAAAATAGAATCTGCTCAGCCCTCCCCTCCAGTCACATGGCCCTTACTGGGTCATGTGACCACCTCATCAGGGCTGGCCTGCACCTGCCGGCTGTCCGGTTATCACTCAAAGCCCTTAAAGTGACAGGCACCAAAGGTGCTCTGTCACATGTAGCAGTGGGAAGAGAACAAATTCAAGACAACCTCCAATAATTAGACACTATACCTGGAAAATTATAACGAATTTATAAATTTTCCATATATAGAATCTAACTATTGGGAGGTGTCTTAGAATCAGGGCCATCTTATATGTAAGTAAATATGGTATATATGAAATATTCCTGATCAAATTACAATTTTAAGGTAAATCAAATTCTGGTTCTGATAGAGTATTTTGAGAGAGTAGTGTATTAGAGCTAATACTGACATGTTACATTTAATACAGCTCTCAGGCTGGGGGAAAAAAAACAGCCTGTCACGTTTAACCATAGTCACTAGAAGTTGACCCCCAGAAAAAGGAGAAATTACTAGCCAGGCTCTGCTACGTCCTATATCCTCTCTCCAACACTTTCCTTTAATCTTCCTGTAGGCATACAAGGAGCTTTCCCACATAGCTAAAACATATAAAGAAAAATATTCTGACCCATTCACTTTGTTGAACAGACACTGAAACCTTAATGCCACGCTTTCAGTTCCAAGTACTTTATCTAGAGTTGATTACCATCTGCCCTGCATTATTATTTCCCTAACCTGTGCTCCATCCCCAGCTTGCTTGAACTTAACATTACTCTCATTATACAGAATGATGCGCCTTAGAAGCTGTACGAAGCAACCCAATGAGAACTAGACTAATCAAATACTGCAAGCCAAAGAAGTTCCTCATTGCTAAACCTTCAATACAGAAATTCAGACCATCTCAGCTGTACATCAGATACAAAAAATGATACTTGACCAGCTGTAGTTGTTAACAAATCTTAATCCTCTAGAAAATGAGGAAAACAGTAGAGATTAAGTTCCTCATTATTCTAGAAAGAAGTGTTACAAATGGAAGGTTGAAATATAGCACTCACAAGGCCTACAAATTATATACAGGGGAATATTTAAAAGAAGAAAGGAAATATAAAATCTTTGGCTGAATTATAGTATATTTTGTTTGTAAGGTCAAAACAATTGATATTAGAGAGAGAGAGAGAGAGAGAGAGAGTGTGTGTGTGTGTGTGTGTACGCACACGTGTGTGTGCACGCGCATGCACGCATGTGCACACCAATTTATTCAGACATGTATTGCAATTCACACACATGCTTAAACATACACACTTTAAGCAGACCTCTAAGTCTCCTTGTAGGACTGCTTCTGTTTTCTGCAGAACAGCTCTTGCTACATATACTGTACTAGCAAAGAAGCTCATTTCTACCAGTGATCCAGGAATGGGATTCTAATATTTATTATTGCAAATCTTTTTTGGAAAAAAGATCTAAATGCTGAGATGATAACTATGTAACTCCAGATGAAGAAGGTAGACTGATTATATTTTCTTAATTTATTATACTGAAATAGTCTACATTGTCTTGGCTCAAGACAAGATGCCCTGAAATGTTTGTACCTTTGCTGCTAAAATATAATAACATAGACTAACTAGGACACTTCAAGGCTGCCTTCTAAGGAAAACTGTTAGTGTGAGTGAAGATCTTCCAATCCCTAAAAACAAACACATTTGGTAAACCATTCAGACTGAAAATAGCAGAATGTATCCAAGTAACATCTGTAATATTTAGTTAATAATCCTTATTGCCAAAGTAACATTCCATATAAAAGTGATTTTCTTTTAAGACTATTTGTTGAAGTACTATGATTAGTTATTTCACACACACCTTTCTGCAAAATCTTGTACACAATTTTATATGGCAGTTATGAGATTATATAACTTATATTTACACTGCTGACCAAGTGCATAAAATTGTATAGAATAATCCAGTTCCTTTCTACATGCAACAAAACTGGCAGCATGTGGAAAGTTTGTATCTTTATATATTTGTAAATAAATATAGCATACAAAAGGAAAATGTAAATTACATTCATTTACAAAAATATTAATAACATTTTCCGTAACTAACCTGAAGCTGCTGTTCCTTGAACATATCTGGATGTGGGGAATTGAGAATATCATCTGCCAGTTGTGCTTGGCTATCAATATTAACTGGAGTTGTAGCTTTGCTGCACAAAAATTTATTGAAGATCTCTCGAGCTCTGTAAGAAAGCTACAAAACAAAACACACGTGCTGTAAGCATCATTTATTGCAAATATGTTAAATGTAGAGTATTTTTTACGCTCCAGCCCACAAAAGAAAAATATGACCTAATACGTGTTTTCTTAATAAAACAGGAGGCTGTAATTTGGTCTCTCAAGATAAAAAGGAACTTTATTTTTATACCTTAAGTATGTATTATTTTTCCCCCTAATTCTGTTACTCTGGATTTTTTCTTATTGTTGTTTCTTGAGATTTACAACTCTAGAAGCTACTGTTAATTGCAATTTTGATAAACGTAACTTTTTGTTAATATTTCTGTGGTCAACATTTTTATTTTGTTTAACATTACAAATGTGTGTCATAACTATTCCTAAGCTATGAGATGTTCCCATCATGAAAGTGTAAAGATATTCAAGCTGCAAAGATAATATATGTCAAGCCTGTCAAATGCTGCTTCACAAAGAACAGAAGCCTGTGGTTGGAGGTGTTTTTAAAAAAAAAAAAAAAAAATCACTACTGAATTAAGTTCTTAGCATTTTAAAATTCTAGAAGGCAGCAAACTTAAAACATATACTTGAATATTTGTAGCTAAAAAATATTCTTATGCTTTTTCTTTTTAAATTTATTTAGTTTCCAAACACAAAAGTTCTGGATGTAATGACACAAATTGAAACAAGCTAGATTAATTGTCATGAAAGAGTGTCAGAAGATGCATAAACTGAAGACACAGGGAGAAAAAAGAAAGAACAAATAAAAAGCTGAATAACCTGAGAAATGGTAAAACATGGACTAGGCTGAAGAAAAAGCCTTACCCTCAAGGGTGTCAAAGAATACAGCCCCAAGATTAGGAGTTAATGATACTAATTTTCACCACTCGTTCTGCTGCCAAATTTCTGGCCCTATGAGAAGCACTGTGGCTGGATCTGGAGCACAAAGTCATGTCATCTGGCTTGTTGAGCTGCCTTTTCACAGTGGAAAGACTGATGGCTGCACTGGCTCCCAAAGCTGCAGTAATCAATGCTGCCACTGCCAAACGTCCAGGCCCACAGATGAAATAACACAATCCCATGCTTCAGATCAAGGCCATGCACCAACCACACCCCCCCGGCCCAGCTTGCAAGGCTAGATGAGTTGTACATCACACCATATACTGAGGCTATGTATACCCTGCAGAATGAATTGCTGGGTAGAAACACCAAACTTACCTTGAGCCCTGGAAGCTCAATGCAAGCTAACTTGCCCTCCTGCTCAGCAGCATAAATTAACCTGCAGAAAACTCCATGCTGCCATAGCCAATCTTCCTCCAGCAACAGCCGCTTATTTTATACTTCTACATTGCACTGCAGTCTTCAGCAGAAATAAATGCTTAACCATATGATAATGGTTAGATGCAGGAGTTGAAGTAGATGTCATGTACCTAGACTTTAAGAAGGCCTTTCATACAGTACCACATTCTGTTCTCATAAATAAACTGACAGGCTGCGATGTAAATGATTACCAAGTCAGGTGGTGGCAAATTGGCTTAGGGGTCGCACCCAGAGAGTGGTGGTGGTTAGGTCGATATCAACCTGGAAAGATGTGGGCAGTGGAGTCCCACAAGGCATGGTTCTTGGACTGGTGCTATTCAATGTCTTCATCAGTGACTTGGACAAGGGCATAGGGAGCACCCTGTCCAAGCACCCACATGATACCAAATTATGGGACAAAGTTAACACACCAGAGGTTAGGGAACAGATCCAGACAGATCTGGACAGGTTGGGAAAATGGGAAGAACAAAATAGGATGCAGTTCAACAAAGACAAGTGCAAAGTGCTGCACCTGGGCAAAAAGAGCCACCAACACACTTACACTCTGGGGGATCACCTTCTCAGCAGCACAGCTGCAGAAAGGGATCTTGGAGTCATAGTTGATTCCAAGATGAACGTGAGTCATCAATGTGACAAAGTGATCAACAATGCTAACCACACTTTATCGTGCATTGGCAGATGCATGACGAACAGGTCCAGGGAGGTGATGCTTCCACTCTGTGTGGCACTGGTCAGGCCACAGTCGGAGTACTGCATCCAGTTTTGGGCACTGCACTTCAAAAGGGATGCAGAAAATCTTGAGAGGATTCAGGAGGCCATTCATGTGGTCAGACATCAGCAGGCAAGGCCCTATGAGGAGAGACTGAGGGACCTAGATCTCTTCAGCCTTTGCAAGAGAAGGCTGAGAGGTGATCTTGTGGCTGCCTATAAATTCATCAGGGTAGGGCAGCAGGGAATAGGAGACGCTCTATTTACTAGGGCACCCCCTGGAGTAACTAGAAACAATGGCCACAAATTGATGGAGAACAGATTTAGGTTGGATGTGAGAAAGAACTGCTTCACAGTAAGGGTTGCCAGAATCTGGAATGGGCGTCCAAGGGAAGTGGTGCTCTTCCCTACCTTGGGGTCTTCAAGAGGAGACTCAACAAGCGCCTAGCTGGGGTCATCTGACCCCAGCACTCTTTCCTGTCCAAGGCAGGGGGTCAGACTCAATGACCTACTGAGGTCCCTTCTGACCCTAACATCTATGAATGGGATGTAGACAGAGTTTCTCAAAGGACTGAGATCCTAAGAGAGACCCCTAAACCAAAATGACAGTACCAATGTAATTCTGATGGAACCACAGTCCCAGGACTAAAGATAGTCCATGTGACCTCAGCTGACTTGTAGGAGTATAAGCTTTCAGCAAGCAAACTTAATATGTGAAAACATAAAATTATTTTACCTCTTTTTTGTCATGTGCAGGAACATGGTTAAAATATTCACAGGCCTGCCAGAATAAAATGTTTTCTTCACTAAACTCCTTCCGTAAAAATTCCTATAGGGAAAAATAAACAAACAGGAAATAAACCATAAAGAAAAAACAATTTGTTTAAAATTTTTAAATGCTTATAGTTAGATGAAAAGGAAAAAAGGTTTGAAGTGTATGTAATGTTCAAATTCAGTGAACTATGTCTGTTAGGTTCAGTCAGGTTTAATATAAGCAAAACCTAACTTATGATAAATTTTCCCTTTTTTCTCACAACACATTCAATTTGGAAAAATGAATCAAGTTACAAGCAATATATTTCAAAGTACAGAGAATATATTTAAAGCTCTGCATGCATTTAGACTGGTTCACTTATTAACACATTTTGATAAGGATGCAAGTAATTTATAATTATACTAAAATTCTTCCACTGTAGAAAAGCTGCTTATTTTTAACTGCAGTTCTATTAGAATACATTGCAAAATGCTAACCATTAGCTCCTAGAGTGCAATTCTGTGCTCAAATAATTGGTCCTCACTTCTATGATTATTCATGCGAGTGGCTGTTTACAGAACAGTGCCCCAAATCAATTGTCTAGTTATTAAGTCTTTCTGCGTCACAGAAATTATTAAATAACCTTCAATTTTGCTCATTTATCTGGTCACACTTGCTCTCTTGAGAAGATGCTTCTTTTAGTAAAAAGGCAAATCTGTCAGTATTATTTATAATTAATATATTCTTATTACTTAAATTTCACTAGGCCACCCAAAGGTCCTAGGTAAAAATTGGGACTCCACTGTGCTAGACAATGTACAAACAAAAACTTGTTCCTGCTCCAGAGAGCAGTGCAATTGGATCTTCTTTCTGCACATCCTTCTTGCAAACACTTAATCCATTAAAAGAGACAAAGGAATCCAACTGGAAATATGTATTTTTTTAATTAAGCAACACGCACAATTTTCAACAATATCTATTCAGGCTTTATTCTCTGAAACTTCATACAATTAAAATTTTGGTTCCAAAATATTGATTCTTCTTTCATGTAGGTTTTATGCTGTATTCACTGGAATTATCCTGATTTACAGCTGTTTTGAGAGGAATCTTTACAAAAGCATGTTGGACCAAACTGTAACAAATGTAGCAGCAGAAAGATGGACAGGAGAACAGGACATGAGTTCCATGTCCTGCCAAGGAAGGGGATGAGTACCAGCATACATACCCAAGCAAGTGAGACATTAGTGAAGGGCATTCAGGGAAATACAGTTCTAAAATGAGGTTTTCTGCTGCTAGGGGTATGTCACCTACTTACTTTGCTGCCAAAAACTAATGCTTTTTGGTCATCTGACACACACATCGGCAGGAAAAAAAAGAGGTAACATTTCTCCCAGAAGACAGACAAATTGTAATTAGATCTGAAGAAAAGTCTCATTCTTAACTCACAAATTATGAGCCTATTTAGGCTGCTAGGGTGAGCAAAATACAAGTAATGGCAAGAACCAAATACTCAACCTCCTCCCCCTTTAATGAATTCCTTATACCATCAAACTTCTTACGATGAAGGAAGTCCTAGTTTTTCCCCTGGGTTCTTACAAAATTCGCATAATAAATTCTGCTTTTTTAAAATAGTTTTGACCACATTAACCAACTGTGTTGATTTGGATATGTGTACCATACCAGACTCTTTAACTGAGAACTAGTCAGTTAACATCTACAGGTGCCTAGCCGGGAGGCTGCTCCAACGCATGGTAATTACCGTGCTCCAGCCAGCCTCTGTGTCTCGTGAACCAGTGTCCCCGTGCTTCAAAATGGCAGCAGGGTCACATTAAAACTTGTTAAATAAGCTTTACATAAAGCGTCCCACTGCCATTTTGAAGTGCGGGCACGCTGATACATGAGATGCTCCAGGTGCTTTAATTAGACCGGATCTTGGAGCCCCTCTAATTAAAGCACCCTTCCCTCCCTGCTCCCAGATCACATGTAAAAATGCCCCTCAAGCCTCAATCTCTCTTCTGCAAAATAGGAATATTACTTATTCATAGGTGTCTTGTGAGGCTTAATTCGTACTTTGCAAATATTTAGCATTACTACTGTGACATTCAATTCTAACCAAGGCTGGTTACTACTTCATTCTCCAATGGATTAGAAGTATCAAGCTAACAAATTTCTTCAATATAGCTAGATATACATTGTCAGATCATTTGAAAGAAGCTTCCACAAGTTGCTTAAAAGTTCTGAGTAGTCAAATTATTAAATGTTCAACAAATTCCTTGTAAATGTTGTTCTAAATAATTTCTTCTGTAAAAATGTTACGTTGCATACCACTGTCCACTGCCATAAGAAATACAGAAACTTTACTAAAAATATACAGAGAAAAAACAGTAAAAGTTTAATTGTCACACGCTGATATAAGTATCAGTGGGTTACTATGGAAGCAGGTTCAGCTATAAGGTCAGTCTTCTTTAAGCTAAAATACATATTTAAAATGCTAATTTTTCATTATAACAATCTCTTATTCCAAAATATCAGGACGTGCTGAAAGCAGTGCAAAAACCCTTTGAAAAGTTGCCATATATTTTGGAAATCATCTCCCTGTCCCTCCCTACTTACAGAAAAATATTTAATGCCAAGTGGATCTTGAAGAAGACGTTCAAATGAAACAGCCCAGCTTGCAACTCTTCTTTCTCGAAGTCGCCGACAGCTCTGCACACTAGGAAGACTAGCATTGCTACTGAGGCTATTCTCACTGATGCAGTCCTTTAAATCAGTACTGTTCAGCTCTGTTTGAATAAAAAGCAACATACAGGCTTGTCAACATTTTCTTGTTCATCTCCCCCCTCTCCTTAGTAATATTTTTTTTACTAGGCTTTACATGACACCCACATATGGTCACAATAGTGTACATTTCATAAAGATGCCCTTCCCCCACCTTTGGAATCGGTGAAAAAAATAACTCCCCCAAACTCTCTTCTTTCCCACTGACAAGAGAATTGCACTGCTATTGTAATTGCGAAAGGAAATACTCTGGCAGCAACCACTACCAGGACTGCAAAGGAACAAGGAGAAGGGGAAAGTGTCTCCATTATTTGCACCCAAAAAATAGCAATTTGGGCACGCATGTCCCACAAACCCCTCTATCCTTTCAAAATCATCATGTGGCTTGCTTCCCTCCACAGAATTACACAGGGAGAATGGACTTTTAACATGGATCCAGAATTCCCAAGAAAGGACAGAAGCAGCACAACCCACAGTCATCAGAGGCATCATAGTATAAGTTCCAAAATGAACGGGGAACCCTCACAACAGCAGACACTAGAGGTGCACTGATACACTGGTCTACATCGTATCAGCACCAATAAAAGGAAAATTGACATTATCAGCAATCAGGTTTTTTGGCTAATATGGCCAATAACGTTGCCGATAAATGCCACGTGCATGTGCACAGCCACAGCACGCATGCAGCCAGGAGTACAGCGTTCAGCTGGTAAGTCTGTGGGGGGGAGGGCCATGGGGGGGCAGATCAAGGCCCCTCCAGTGAGGGAGGGAGGGAGGAGGGCAGGGGCTGAGGCATGGGCTGCCCAGCCAGGGTTGTGGGGGGAGCAGGGTACAGGATGAAGCCACAAGTGGCTCATCTGGGGGACATGCACCACCAGGGGACACATGGGGTGTGCGTGCCCCCCAATCTATGAGCAGGGTGAGGGCGGGCTGCTGCTCAGTGCTGGGGCTGGTGCCAGGTTCTTCCCAGTGGGGGGGTTGGGCTGGGGCTGCACTTGGAAAAGTGGTGGCGGTGTTGGGAGGGGGGGCTATGGTGAAGTTTGGTGCGACTACAGCCCCCCTCATCTCCCCTCTCCCAGCACCGCCACCACCATCTGCCCTAAGTGCAGCCCCAGACCATCCCCCCTGCCAAGAAGAGTCCAGCGCTGCCCCTGGCCCCAGAGCTCAGCGTCAGCATATCTTCACCCTGCACACAGATCGGGGGGGGGCACATACCCCCCCATACCTCCCCTGGGGGTGCACACAGCGATGGGAGCCACCACTACCCCCCTCTTCGCATCCCCCCCAGGATGAGCCACTCACGGCTCCATCCCGCATCCTGCCCTGGCTGGAGAGTGCCTGCCCCTGCTCCAGCCCCACTCCTACTCCCTCCCTCACCATGGGGGCCTTGATCTGGCTCCCCCAAACCCCTTCCCTCCCAAGAGATTTACCAGCCAGATGCTGCTGCTGGGCTTGCATATTCGCAATCGGATCAATAGTGGCCGATAAGGCTCGTTAATAATCTGCCATTGGTTTCGGCCCAAAAAATCTTCATCAGTGAACCCCTAGCAGACACCTAACCCCGCTTCCTGGAGAACAGCAAATAGGCTACAAGTACTCTTCAGTCTCCAGAGGCCTCCCTGTCACATGCGACTAACAAGCCAGGGTAGGTACTTCTCAGGCTGTTATTGTTCAGTCTTTCCTTTTTAGAGGATTTTGGAGCTTTCTTAACAGGATACTGCAACAGAAAAAAATCCGTAGAAGTAATAGCTTAATTTCAACATATAATTGTTTCTAAAGAAAATAGATTACTTTTTTGGAACACCAGCTATGGCTACCATCATTT